GAGAGGCTCTTCTTATCTTGTCTTTTAATGCAAGGTACACTGTGTGTTGTTTAGGGTATTGCAGCCTGCTTTAAGCAGTTACCACCCAAATTTTTGTAGAGATTTCTCGCCCAAGTGCAATGTGGGTGTTCCTGGTTTTGGTGTGGTTCAGGGACAGAGCGATTGGATATAATACCAAAGCACATCATTAAAGGCTAGTTTTTGTTCAGAGAGATGCATTGAACTATATAACTTCTGAGTGACCTAATCCATTGATGAAGTTTAAAGTAGTCAGGATTTTATGGACTACAAGTTAGTTAGCCCTTCATAAATATTTCTTAAAATTGGCTTTTGAGAGAAGTTGGGCAGCAGATAGTTTGAAGCTAACCTAAAGACATGTAGGGCTGGTACTTTGGAAGATCCATATGCTTTAACATTAACCCAGAAAAAGGTGGAATTGAAGTGCTCTTATAAAAATGAAAAAGCCCAGTCACGACTCTTGCCCAAATAGAATGTCATCCTGCTTTCATATAGAGAAAGGCAGAGGAAATGTATCTGTATTCAACGCCAGGTGAGTACAGATACACGAAAGACTTTAGTTTACATTTGATAAGATAGATTTTTAGACCAAAAATTGGAGAGAGAAGAGTATGACATCTTGAATAAAAGCATAATGAATAATGTAAAAATATTTAATTTATGTTTGTCGAATACCAGAGCTATAAAATATTTAGAGAAGTTATGAATTTGAGAAATAATTTTTATAAAGGATTATAGATAAAGCAGAGAAAAAAGATAGCTTATGTATCTTAATTGAATAATAAAACTATGGAGAGATTGTATGATATATATATAAATACTTTTCAGATGTACATAGATCTTAAAAATTTAATTTAATTATAAAAATATGTATTTTTTTCTACAGGATATGTAACCACATGATCTAACAGTTGGGACATTGTAGAAATAAAGTAGTAAAGAACTGAGAAATAAAGACTGTCTTGATTATACAAAAGCCTAAGATCTGTGAAGACAATTTTTATTTCTGTAAGCAAATAGAATCTTTTCCCCATCAGTTTATGTCTATAGCTTCATTTCTCTTGGGTGGAATTGCATAGGATATGAGTATTTTTAATTTTACTAAAGTATACCAAATTGCTTTTCAATATGGTTGTACTGACTTTCAGGCCTATCTGAAATGTGTAAGATCCACCTTCCCTATATGGAGGCCTATACTTTATTTTTTTATCCTTCAAAATATAGCTGTCTTTTTAGTAGAACTTTTTAAAAAATTGAAGTATAGTTGATTTACAATGTTAGTTTCAGGTGTAGAGCAAACTGACTCAGATGTACACACACACACACACACACACACACACACACACTTCTTTAGATTCTTTTCCATTGTAGGTTATTACAAGATATTGAATATAGTTCCCTGGGCTATACAGTACGTTCTTGTTGTTTATCTGTTTTATATACAGTAGTGTGTATCTGTATTTTTTTTTGGCTATGCGTCTTGCAGGTAGTTCCCTAACCAGGGATTGAACCTGGGCCACCACAGTGAAAGCGCCGAATCCTAACCACTGGACCGCCAGGGAATTCCCTAGTAGTGTGTATCTGTTAATCCCAAACTCCTAATTTATCTCCTCTGCCCTGCTTTCCCCTTTGGTAACCCTAAGTTTGTTTCCTATTTTTGTGAGTCTGTTTCTGTTTTGTAAGTAAGTTCATTTGTATCTTTTTTTTTAGAGTCCACATGTAAGTGATATATGATATTTGTCTTTTGGTCTGACTTCACTTTGTAAGATAATCTCTAGGTCCATCCATGTTGCTGCAAAGGGCATTATTTCATTTTTATGTCTGAGTACTATTCCATTTTGTGTGTGTGTGTGTGTGTACACATACACACACACACACCCCACATCTTCTTTATCCATTCATCTGTTGATGGACATTTAGGTTGCTTCCATGTCTTGGCTATGGTAAATAGTGCTGGAATGTCCATTGGGGTGTGTGTATCTTTTTGAATTAGAGAGTTTGTCTTTTCCAGGTATATTCCCAGGGGTGGGATTGGGATTGCTGGATCTTATGGTAACTCTTTTTAATTTTTAAAGGAACCTCCATACTCTTCTCCATAGGGGCTGTACCAGTTTACCTTCCCACCAACAGTGTAGGAGGGTTCCCTTCTCTTCACACCCTCTCCAGCATCAATATTTGTAGACTTTTTGATGATGGCCATTCTGACCAGTGTGAGAGGATACCTCATTCTAGTTTGTTTGTTTTTTTTAAATTTATTTATTATTATTTTGGGGGGGGAGCTGCATTGGGTCTTTATTGTTGCATGTGGGCTTTCTCTAGTTGTGGCGAGTGGGGGCTACTCTTCGTTGCAGTGCGTGGGCTTCTCATTGCACTGGCTTCTCGTTGTGGAACACGGGCTCTAGGCGCGTGGGCTTCAGTAGTTGTGGCACGCGAGCTCAGTAGTTGTGGCTCACGGGCTCTAGAGCGCAGGCTCAGTAGTTGTGGCTCACGGGCTTAGTTGCTCCGCGGCATGTGGGGTCTTCCCAGACCAGGGCTCAAACCCATGTCCCCTGTATTGGCAGGCGGATTCTTAACCACTGTACCACCAGGAAAGTCCCTCATTCTAGTTTTGATTTGCATTTCTCTGGTGATCAGTGCCATTGAGCATCTTTTCATGTGCCTGTTGACTGTCTGTCTGTCTTTGGAGAAATGTCTATTTAGGTCTTCTACCCATTTTTAATTTTTTTTTTTATATTGAGCTGTATGAGCTATTTGTATGTTTTGGAAATTAAGCCCTTGTTGGTTGCTTCATTTGCAAATATTTTCTCTCATTCCATAGATTGTCTTTTTGGTTTGTTTATGGTTTCCTTTGCAGTGCAAAGGCTTTTAAGTTTAATTAGGCCCCATTTGTTTATTTTTGCTTTTGTTTCCATTACTTTAGGAGACAGAGCCAAAAAAAGTATTGCTGTGATTTATGTCAGAGTGTTCTGCATATGTTTTCCTCTAGGAGTTTTATAGTATCCGGTCTTACATTTAGGTCTTTAAACTACTTTGAGTTTATTTTTGTATATGGTGTTGGAGAATCTTCTAATATCATTCTTTTACATGTAGCTGTCCAGTTTTCCCAGCACCACTTATTGAGGAGACAGTCTTTTGTCCACTGTATATTCTTGCCTCCTTTGTCTCAGGTTAATTGACCATAAGTGTGTGGATTTATTTCTGGGTTTTCATCCTGTTCCATTGAGCTGTGTGTCTGTTTTTGTGTCAGTACCGTACTGTTTTGATTACTGTAGCTTTGTAGTATAGTCTGAAGTCAGGACGTGTGAATCTTCCACTCTGTTCTTTCTCAAGATTGTTTTGGCTATTTAGGATCTTTTGTGTTTGCATACAATTTTTTAAATTGTTTGTTCTAGTACTGTGAAGAATCCCATTGGTAATTTGATAGGGATTTCACTGCGCCTGTAGATTGCTTTGGGTAGTATGGTCATTTTAACAAAATTGATTCTTCCAATCCAAGAACAAGGTGTACCTTTCCATCTCTTTGTTCATCTTCAGTTTCTTTCATCAGTGTCTTATAATTTTCAGAGTACAGGTGTTTTGCCTCCTTAGGTAGGTTTATTCCTAGGTTTTTTTTTTTTTTTTTTTTACAGTGGTAAATGGGATTGTCTCCTTAATTTGTCTTTCTGATAGTTTGTTGTTAGTGTATAGAAATGCAACAGATTCATGTATATTAATTTTGTATCCTGCAACTTTACTGAATTAATTGATGAGCTCTAGTAGTTTTCTGGTGGCATCTTTAGTATTTTTTATGTATAGTATCATGTCATCTGCAAACAGTGACAATTTTACTTCTTCCTTTCCAATTTGGATTCCTTTCATTTCTTTTTCTTCACTGATTGCTGTGGCTAGGACTTTCAAAACTATGTTGAATAAAAGTGGTGCGAGTGGGCATCCTTGTCTTGTTCCTGATCTGAGAGGAAATGGTTTCAGCTCTTTGCCGTTGAGTATGATGTTAGCTGTGAATTTGTCATATACGGATTTTATTGTGTTGAGGTATGTTCCCTCTGTGCCCACTTTCTGGAGAGTTTTTATCATAAATGGATTTTGAATTTTATCAAAAGCTTTTTCTGCATCTATTGAGATGATCATATGGTTTTTATTCTGCAGTTTGTTGATGTGGTGTATCACATTGATTTGTCGATATTGAAAGATTCTTTCATCCCTGGGTTAAATTCCACTTCATCATGTGTGATTCTTTTAATGGAGGCCTATACTTTATATTATCAGGACTTAAAGTTTTTGCCAGCCTTGTGGGAATGATAATCAAAGTTTTAATTTTCTCTGATAACTAGGATGAGCATCTTTTCGTGTTTTCCAGTTTTTTTCTTTATGGCTTGCACTTCTTACGTATTTTCAGAAATCCTTTCTCCCTCCTCTCAGAATGATTTCCCTATTTTTCCTTTACAATTTTGGATTAAAATGTAGCTGCTTTAGTTCTCTTGGAAATTATTTTTGTGTATGTTGAGATGGGGATTTTAAAAATCTATTTCTGTACAATTAAGTAGTTGTCTCAGTAATATTCATTGAATAGTTTATTCTTTTCTCATCAATCTGTAATGTCATTCCTCTATTTGCCAAGCTCCCTGTGTGGGTCTGTTTCAGGGTTCTCTATTCCCTTCCACTGGTCTATAATAGTATATATATATATATTTTTTTTTATAACTCTCTCTTTTTTTTTTTTTTTTTTAGAAATGGCTTTTATTTATTTATTATTTATTTTTGGCTGTGTTGGATCTTCGTTTCTGTGCGAGGGCTTTCTCTAGTTGCGGCGAGCAGGGGCCACTCTTCATCACGGTGCACGGGCCTCTCACTATTGCAGCCTCTCTTTTCGCGGAGCACAGGCTCCAGACGTGCAGGCCCAGTAGTTGTGGCTCACGGGCCCAGTTGCTCTGCGGCATGTGGGATCTTCCCAGACCAGGGCTCGAACCCATGTCCCCTGCATTGGCAGGCAGATTCTCAACCACTGCGCCACCAGGGAAGCCCTATAATAGTATATTTTAAGTTAGAAATTCTTCTCATTAAAAGTTTCAAACATACACAAGAGATAATAGTATAATGAAACCACGTATAATCATCCACATTCAACAGTTTCCACGTATTTACCACACTAGCTTCATTTTTGCCTTTTGAAGCATATTCCAGGCCTTAGTTTACTTCACTCCTATATACTCAACATGCACTTCTATTATCACACCATCAAAATTAACATTTTTAATAGTATTGTTCAATCCATATTCAGATTTGTTTATCTCAGAAATGTTTTTTTATAGTTGGTTTGTTTAAATCAGGGTCCTTATATTGAACTTGGTTTTTTATGTTTCTTAATTCTTCTAAAATTTAGAGCATTTGAGCAAACTACCTTCCCCCAGTCTTTTTTGTTTTTCCTGACATTGACTTGTTGAAGAAATCAAGTTGGTTTGTCTCTCATATTCCACATTCTGGATTTGTCTGTGCTCCTTTATGGTGTAATTTAGCTTGTTCTAACTCAACATATCTTATAAACTAGAAGTTATTTTTAAAGGCTTATAATTAAGATTTAGGTTCAGCTTCTTTGGGGTAGGGAAGCAAAAAATACTTCATAGGTGGTGCTGGTACTTCGTATTACATCACATCAGGAGGCACATAATGTAAGGCTATTTTACCCACTCTTACAAATGCTAAGATTGAATTAATGGGATTCAGGTGGTTTCAGCAGGATTCCTCCATAAACAAGTTTTAATTTAAGGTTCATTCATTGATGGTGCTATTCTGATTGCCATTCCTCCTGTATTTATTAGCAGGAATTCTTTGCCTCTCTAATCGATGAGGCAAAAGAACAACTTTGCCTCATCAATTAGAGATACATGGTTACCCTGAAATCTAATTGGTACAAGAAAACAGGATAAATGCTTTGTTCTTTCCCTTTAATTTGTCAGTGTTCAGAGTAAGGAGTTAGTGCCTCAGTTAGTTTCAGTAGTGACCAGTAGGGTTTTTAGTATCAGTATTGAAGACTTGAATATCATTAGTCTAGATTTTTTTAGTAATCTTCTGTGTAAGGTTGGTCTAGATTAACTAGTTCATCATTACCTGAAACAGAAGTAAGGATGCTAACACTTTGTTTCCTGTTGTAGTTTCCCCCCATAATTTATGTTGCCTTAATTTTTTTAAGTTATACTTTTGGAAGGGGTTATAATAGATATAAAGATTCTTTATGCAGATACCCTGCATAGTGTGGCTATACTTACCTCAGTGTTATAAAATATTAACCTCTATTTTCTTCTAGTACTTTTGTTTTTGCATATTTAAATATTTAATATATATGAACATAACTTATTTGCTCCAAATAAGTTTACTTATATATTGACATAAAATTATATCTTTTTTGTCTAAGAGAGCCCTGCTGATGTTAAACCCTTTCAAAATGTTCAATTAATCACTTGTGTTCCTAGGTGACATATAATAGCAGAAAAATCTAGGTAATTTGTAGATAGATTTGTGGTTAATTATGCAAAGGCAAAATTTTAGAACATTAAGACATATTTCTCAAATAAATGTAACACTGTTAGAAGATTATAATATCCTTATTAATATTTTCATATTTTTGTAAACTTGAATAGTGTATTTATTTCCTTTGTATAATAATTGATTTTATTCTGTTATTTTGGATAGACACTTGGCATTTCACCTGAAGAAAAATTTGTTATTACAACAACAAGTAGGAAAGAAATTACCTGTGATAATTTTGGTAAGCAATGTTATGTTTATGCTTTTATATTTAATATGTTCTAGTATATCATAGAGCAATGACTATTTTATGAGATAGATAAGCATCAAAAAACTGTGATGTTTTGAGGATGGGGGAGGAAACTAGCTATATGCATCCAGTTTGTGCAGAGGTCATATTTTTCAAGCAAGATTATAGGAAAAGAGTTGATATCATTTATGGCTACAGAAGATGAGACCTTGATCAGCACAACACCTAGCACAGATCTTCTACTTGGGCCCTTAAGAAGCTAATTCTTCTGACCAACTTGGATTCTTCCATTATCTTTTTTTACCCAGTTATGTTCTAAGACTTGCCAATTTTTCATGCCTGATTCCTTTTTGGATTTAATCATTCTTCTCCATTCATATTGATACCACTTTAATATAGTTCCTCATCTGATTTTCTGTGACAACTTAAGAATTGAGTGTTTCCATTGATATTCTTAACAAAACACAACACAACTGAATTTATAGATGGATCCATTGTTTGGGGATTTGCCTGTACAATTTTTAAAGTCATTTCATAGATACAGTTTGTATATTTAAAATTATAAATTCATTGTGTTTCGGATGCTAGCTTAGCACTTAAGATGTTACCTCTTGATTACAGATGAAGCTGTTAAAGATGGAGTCACTCTGTACCTGCTACAGTCAGTCAGTCAGTTACTACTAACAGCTACAAAAGAACGAATTGACTTCCTACCTCACTATGACACATTGGTTAAAAGTGGCATGTATGAATATTATGCAAGTGAAGGACAAAATCCTTTACGTAAGTATTCCATTTATACTAATTTTGATAAACTGTCACTCACCTTTATCCCCTGATCACACGTCTTAGTCCTTCACTTTAAAAAAGATCTCTCATTCTACTTTATTCACAGACTATGATCAGTTTTTGTGAGTGTCCTTACTTTGTCTCTTCATCACAGTGTATTTCTTTTTCTACCTAAGTCATCTTACTTCAGAATAAAGATACCTCTCCTTGAAAACTAATGTAGAATGAGAATTCATTCCTTTTCGACTCATGAGAGGTCTTGTACTTACACATCTATCTCCTGTACACTCTCCTTTCCTGATTTATTCTTCCTGGCCTCATGTACACCTCTCCCAGTTGAGAAAATATTTGTTTTACCTTGCACATTTTTTATAGCTGAACAGCACAAGTAAGTGGTTTGTGTTCTTTATCATTTCTTTATCATTTCCTTCCACCTTTACTACTTGCCAGTTTTTATCCTACCTTTGGATTGTTTGCTAGTTGATTTAGAGAATCTTTTCTGTCTGGACCCTGCCAAAGTGTTTAATACTATTTAGATGTTCATTATAAACTTTCTTTTTCTTTTTTTTTGGCTGTGCTGTGGCTTGTGGGATCTCAGTTCCCCAACCAGGAACCAGGAATTGAACCTGGGCCTTGGCAGTGAAAGCCAGGAATCCTAGCTACTAGGCCACCAGGGAACTCCCTATAAACTTTCTTATTAAAAATTTTTTTCATTGTATATGCATTAGAGTTGGTAGAAAATTAGAAAACATAGATAAGCAAAAAGAGCATAAAGAACATCCCTATCTCTACCACCCAGATGTAACTACCACCAACACTTCGGTGTTTATCATTTCAGACCTCTTTATATTGTTTGAGTTTTTTTCTTTTTTAATGGTTTTGTATGATGCATCCTTTTTTTTTTTTGGCCGCACTGCATGGCTTGTGAGATCTTAGTTAGTTCCCTGACCGTGGATTGAACTCGGGCCCTCAGCAGTGAAAGCACAGAGTCCTAACCACTGGACCACCAGGGAATTCCCAATGCATACTTTTTTAACCTACCTTTTTATTTAAAATCTAATGAACATCTTTAATATGCATGTCAATATATATTTGTTTTAGGGGTTACACAGTATTTAGATAACGTAATTTATTTGAACAGTGTACTGTTGTTATTAGACATTCAAGTTATTTCAGTCTTTTTTTAATTGTTACAAATGACTGAATGTTCTTGTGACTAATTCTTTTTTTTTAAATAAATTTATTTATTTTATTTATTATTTTTGGCTGCGTTGGGTCTTCGTTGCTGCGCGTGGGCTTTCTCTAGTTGCGGCGATCAGGGGCTACTCTTCGTTGTGGAGCACAGGCTCTAGGCATGCAGGCTTCAGCAGTTGTGGCTCGCGGGCTCTAGAGCACAGGCTCAGTAGTTGTGGCGCACGGGCTTAGTTGCTCCGCGGCATGTGGGATCTTCCCAGACAAGGGAAGTATGTCCCCTGCATTGGCAGACGGATTCTTAACCACTGCGCCACCAGGGAAGTCCCCCCATCTTCTTAATGTGTCAGTGCTTCAGGGCTTAGTCTTTGGTCCCTTATCTTCTCCTAATTCCTCAACTGGTGATTCCATCTGATCTCATGGCTCTAAATACCATAGTTATGGAAGTGACTCCCAAATGGAGGTAGTGAGAAATGGTCATTTTTAGTTAAATATTGAAAATAATGCCAGACTTACCTCCTGAATCCCAGTTTTGTCTATCCACTTGCCCATGTGGCATCTCTACTAGGATATCTAAGATGGGAATATACTACACATAGTTTTCCATCCAAATTAATTTTGGTTCTTTTTAGTTGCTTAAACCAAACATCCAGTTGATTCTTTGTCTCATTCAATCTTTCAGAAAATCCTTTTGGCACTATCATCAGTGTTTATCTTAAAATGAGCATTTCTCTTTACTTCTGTTGGTAACACTAGGTCTGAGGCACCATCATAGATTACCGAGATTATACAGTGGCCTCGTCTCTCTCTTTTCATGCCTGTACATGTAAGGTTTGAGAAGTCAGATTGTTTCACTAAGGGTAAACGCTGACATCTTTACAATTACATGCATGGTCTTAGAAGCTGTGCTTTGTATCTCTCTGACTTCGTTTCCACAACTCTTCTTGTTGTTCATTCCTCTTCACTGCCAGCTTTATTCTCAGCTTAGGGCCCTCTCCCTGGATAGCCCCTGTCTCAGTCCCTCACCTCATTCAAGTCTTGTTTTTCTATTACCTTCTCAACAAAACTTATCTTGTTCACCCTATTTAAAATTGCAAACTATGTTTCCTCTATGCCTCTATACCAGATAAACCCACGTAAGTTGGAAATATTCTAAGTCAAAAATGCATTTGCGGGGGCTTCCCTGGTGGCGCAGTGGTTGAGAGTCCACCTGCCGATGCAGGGGACAGGGGTTCGTGCCCCGGTCCGGGAGGATCCCACATGCCGTGG